GGGGTTAGAATTCACTGTCGCCTGGTGATTGACCCAAAATCACCCAGGAGGCTTTCATGCTTAAGGCAGGATTAGAATTCACAGTTACCTGGTGATTGACCCAAAATCACCCAGCTGGCTTTCATGCTTAAGGCGGGACTAGAATTCACAGTCTCCTGGTGATTGACCCAAAATCACGCAGCTGGCTTTCATGCTTAAAACGGGACTAGAATTCACAGTTGCGTGGTGATTGACCCAAAATCACCCAGCTGGCTTTCATGCTTAAAATGGGACTAGAATTCACAGTCCCCTGGTTTCTAGCCTAATGCCTTAACCACTAGATTAAATTGGCTCTGTATGAATATGCTGGATATTCTGGAAGTCATATCTGCTGAGTTCCATGAATGAAGCGAGAGTCTTCTCAATTGTTAGCCATTAAAGCCGAACTTCTGGATTACCAAGGAAAATCTTTTCTGTACCTAGCTTCATTCCAACTTGGGAAAAAACTGGTGCTTCCTCACTTCATTCAGGGTGAATATTTGGTAAATTCACAGAGGGGTCTGTACTTAGACCAAAGCACGTTTCTGTATTTACTTACAGGAGTTTATCCTCATGTTATGCCAAAGAGAAAATTCTGATTTTATTATTTCTTTCTGGGAAGGTGATAGTTTCACCTATGAGGAAATCACCAGGAATGCCTTGCATTATCTTCACGATGGCTCATCCTCAGAAGAAGACAGCATGGAAATTTCAGTCACTGACGGCACTACCAAAGACGTAGTTTTGCTCAAAGTGGAAGTAACTCCAGTGGACATTAATGGGCCAAGGTTGGATCCTAGCTGCTCGCTGAGTATCACTGTGGCTGGTAAAAACTCCGTGATCATCACTCGATCCCACTTTGCCTACATTGTAAGCATTTGATCTTTTTTTATATATATCTCCCTCAAGTTTAATCTGTATCTTAATATGTTTGGTGGGTTCAAAGCAGTCATGGAATTAAGGAGGCAGAAAATGTAGGGTTTTTCATTTAGATAGAAGGGAAAAGGGGAAGAACCAGAGAAAAGCACCTGATTTGGTTTTCCTCCTGTGTTATAAAAATAATTCAGTAAAAAAAATACACAGACAAACCACAAGCAATAAATCTTACTTTGAGATCAGAGGTTTATTTCATGAGCAATTTGGAACATGAAAAGCCATCATAATATAACAACATTTCAGTAAGATAGTACTTACTAACAATCCATTGCAATGAGGTAAAGAGACAGTAGCTAACTCCAGAACGGATAGCTACTATCAGTGGCCCTGATTTGAGATTTACCCCCTTCTTTTATACCCTTCTTTTTCTGAAGCCCACCCAGTGGTATGTAATCTTACTTGGATGTACTTCCCTGTTCCCTCATACTGTCCATCAGTTAATACCCACTTGTAGGTAGATGTCAACTCGCTTACCATCTGCTACTTTCAGTTCCCCCTTTTCTCAATGTCCCAGACATTCGTGATCCAAAATAGTTCTACTTTTGATTGTCCAGCAAATGTATGCTTTTTGCAGAAATAGCAGATAGCAAACATATTGCTGTGCCTGCAAAATCGGCTGAGCAGACTGTAAGTATTTCACCATGCTTGCAAAATCAGCTCAGCCGGCGTTATTATATATTGTTAATTTGAGGCCTTCAATTAGGCAGAGGCCTACACCAACTTTAGGGCCTAGTTGTCCTTTTCTCACACATGGTAGAAGCTTCTTGTACAAGATTCAGTTTTTGAGTGATCGGGTCAAAACCTGGCAACTGAAGATCCAAGGGAATCCTAAGTTTAGAGCATTTCCTGAAGCTGATTTTTTTTCGTTTTGGAATGATAAAGTTCTCAGCAGCTTCTGAAATGACATTTTTCAGTGTCCCTGACAAATATAAAGGCCGCTGCTGATCAGGTGACTGAAGACAACCTCTTTGTAACTCTGGATGGACTCTGGTGTAAGACAGCCCATGTCTTGCAAAATTCTGGGGTCAAAATTTCTTTTTGTTATAATAACATCTCATGACTTGTGCCCATATCAAAAAGGAAGAATTTGAAATTCTCCAATAGAAATGATTGCAGTATGTTAATACAAAAGGCTCTGTAGATTGTACATAACCTTTTATGTTTAACCAACTACTTGTGAAAGCATTTCATTGCTGGAAAGCATCTCTTATTAATCCAGTTACGTTGAGAGTGCATACAACATACTAGGATAAAGCAGAATTGGTGAATGTACATGTCAATATAATTACTTAATAGTTCAATTATTTGCAAACCTAGCCAATTGGATTAATTCAGCAAAATTCAGTGGTTTATTTGCAATGGGTTGATACCGTTTTAGCTTTTCCTGGTTATTTTCACTCAATCAATCATTCCTTGACTCTAATCCTGCTCTTTCACGTTTTCGTTTTCTAAAACATTCCCAGCATCTGAAAAATACTGCAATGCTTATTTTTACTGATCTACAGGCAGACCTCAACTTACGAGCCTCAAATTTCTGTTGCTAAGTGAGACAGTTGTTAAGTGTCCCATTTTGCAACCTTTCTTGCCACAGTTGTTAACTAAATCACTGCAATTGTTGAGTTAGTCACACGGTTGTTAAGTGAATCTGGCTTCTCCCTTGACTTTGCTTGTCAGAAGGTTGTAAAAGGGGATCACATGACCCCAGGGCATTGCAACCGTCATAAATATGAGTCAGTTGCCAAGCGTCTGAATTTTGATCACATGACCCTGGGGATGCTGCAATGGTTGTAAGTGTAATAAATGGTGAAAAGTCACTTTTTTCAGTGCCGTTGTAATCTCGAGCGGTGACTAAACAAACTGTTGTAACTCAAGGACTACCTGTACACACTCAACATACTTAGTTGTTTTGGTTCCTGAATCCTTTTCTTGATCTCACATAGGTAAGCACCCAGCGTTCACTGTCCTTAACAGAAGTAAATAAATGCACGTTATACAGGATCAAGCAATAATTTCCTAACACTAGTTTTCCATTAAGACAGCACAAGATTCTACTCACTTTCTATGTAGCCACACTATAGCAATAGCAACAGCACTTCGACTTATATACCGCTTCACGGTGCTTTACAGCCCTTTCCAAGTTGTTTACAGAGTCAGCATATGCCCCCCAAATAATCTGGGTCCTCATTTTACCCACCTCGGAAGGACAGAAGGATGAGTCAACCTTGAGCCGGTCACGATCGAACTCCTGACAGTGGGCAGAGTCAGCCTGCAATTCTGCATTCTAACCACTGTGCCACCACGGCTCATTACATACTCTTGGCTCACCTTTACCTTTCCTCAGATTGTATTTAATATTAGGATAATAAAACCTCAAAAATAACTTGGAGGAATTGTTCTTTGTTTTTTTAATTTAGATTAATTGTCAAATCAATCATTATCAAAAAGTGCCTCACCTCACAACACACTATAGCACAACCAACAGAGCTATGAAAAAGATACTACCATACATCAAAAATATCTCAGAAACAACCAACAGACTATTTATAATCAGAGTTGGAAGGGACTTTGTAGGTCATCTAGTCCAACCCCTTGCCCAAGCAGGAGACCCTACACCATTTCTGACAGATGCGAGTCCAGTTTCTTCTTGAAAGTTTCAAGTGATGGCGCTCCCACAACTTCCGAGGGCAAGCTATTCCATTGGTTGATTGTTCTCACTGTCATAAAATTTCTCCTTATTTCCAGGTTAAATCTCTCCTTGTTCAATTTCCATCTATTATTCCTTGTCTGGCCTACAGGCACTTTAGAAAATAGCTTGACCCCTTTCTGTACTTTTTCTGTATAGAGAATCATACTCTAAGCTATTTGAATCATACGGCATCACTGTAGCACACAGATCAACTAAAGCACTCCAAAACTTTATAAGTTAACTAAGAAACCCAATAGCTCAAGAAATAAAAACAGATGTTACCTGCAACATACAGTGTAAAGGCTGTCACAGCCACTAAGTCAGACAAGAAGGAAACTAGCAGAGTACATGCATGAAAACTCCTTAATCTCACAATACACGGACAGATTTGATGATAATTTCAACTAGGAAACTATGAGAATCCTAGACCTAGCTAAATCCAAAAATGCTAGGGAATTTCTGGAAACTTGGCATTCAAACCAATCAGCCATCAGTTGGCACACAGAGTTTGCACACCATTAATTAAAAGAGACAATAAAAAAAGCTTAAAAAGGAAACAAAGCAATGAGAACACACCGTTGCCAGCATTCAGATAAGCAGGGAATAATACCAAACAAACAATGAAAAAGAAAACAGTCAAGGAACTACCAAGGAGAGCTTGTTCCTCGGGATAATCCAATGTCTATCCTTATCACTTCCTATCCTCTTCCTCTCCTTCTCAGCCACATGATGGCTTGCTTAACAACCACCATTACTTATGATTGTAATGAGCAGTCTCTATTACGCTTGTAAGTCAAGGACTAACTCTGCTTCATTTTTATTCTGCCTTTCCCCTCCAGATATTCAAAAAAGCCGCTCCCTTTCCCTGTTTTATCCTTATACCAATCTTATGAGATAGATCAGACCAGAAGAGATTAGTCTTAGTGATTCAATGAATTTCAGTGCTATAGAGGTGAGGCACGGTTGGCCTAGCAGTTAAGATCCTGGGTTTGTCAACCGGAAGGTTGGCAGTTTGAGATCAGAGTGCTGCACAACTGGGTGAGCTCCCGTTACTTGCCTCAGCTCCTGCCCACCTAGCAGTTCAAAAGCATGTAAATGCGAGTAGATAAGTAGGTACCACTTTGGTGGGAATGTAACGGCATTCCATGCATCTCAGCATATAGTCATGCTGGCCACGTGACCATGGAAGCCTCTTCAGACAATGATGGCTCTCTCTGTTAGGAAGCAGAGGTGAGCACCGCCCCACCTAGAGTCAGACATGACTAGACAGGGGAAACTTTTACCAATTAATTACCATTAATCATAATTAATCCTAATGATTCTTTGAGTTTCAGTGTTATAGAGGTGAGGGTGGTGTCTTATCTCACTCAGGGGGAACAAGATGGATCATCTCCCAGGAGCATCGCTTAGCCTGCAGCGAGTCTGAATTATTCTAGCTTTCTTTTTTTAACTTACATCCAGACAAAGGGGAACCTTGCCTGTGGCTATGCCAGGAAGCCAAAGGTAACAACCTTCCTCCTGCTTGAAAAACACGCCTGGTTCTGACTTTCTGGCAGGTGGGAAGTTGGCCTGGGCTTTCTGGCATTTCATAGATCTGCTAGCACAATCTGGGCACGTAGGCCGATGTCAGTTAGCATTTTTGTGATGCATAGACAACAGCTGATCCTGGGCCAGGAAATCAACCCTTGCACAAAGAAAACCAGGCTGTAATGTAGAAGGCTCACCTCCCCTTGACTGTTCCTGCTTGACAAAGGTTTTGACCTGTTCTCCTACCTACATCTTCAAGGAAGGGAGGAAGGGAGGAAAAGAAAGAGAGAGAGAGGGAGAGAGAAAGAGGGAGGAAAGGAGAGAGAAAGAGAGGGAGGGGGAGGGAGGGAGAGAAAGAGAGAGAGTGGGAGAGAGAAAGAGAGAGAAAGAGGGAGAGAGAAAGGGAGGGAGGGAGAGAAAAGAGAGGGGAGGGAGAGAAAGGGAGAGAGAAAGAGGGAGGGGAGAGAGAGGGAAGGAGAGAGAGGGGGAGGGAGAGAAAGAGAGGAAGGGAGAGGAAGGGAGAGAGAGAGAAAGACAAGGAGGGAGGGAGAGAAAGACAGGGAGGGAGGG